TTATACGCAATGTTTAACTTTATTGGATTTCTTTTCTCACTCTTAAAAGGAATCTACAATACATGTGCTATACACACACAAGTAAACAGACAAGCAAGCGTAGCACGCATACTCTTTGCAGGATTTTTTGGAATTTTTTCCACATCCATAAACAAAATTCTTTTAGACGCACAAATAAAAGAATATAACACAAAAATAACAACACGACAAAATACATACGACGAAGAACATAACAATGTAGACATAACGCCAACGGCACCACAATTACCACCCCTACCAAATAACCATCCACTATCCCTAGTCCCACGAAATTTTCGAAATTTAGCAATCACACATAATCCAAATTTTCGACTCAATACATCGCAAAGTCCCGTCCAACATATAATGACACATCAATCACAAGATGATAATACTTATGAACAAATTATTGAACAGCCCCATACCACCGCTTTTCAATCTCAAAATAATAATTTTTTTAGCCCACGATGAGCCGCCAACTTGGATCACTACACCGATCAAATTCCCATCCAACCAATCTTACCTCTTCAATCCCAATCATACCACTTTTTGCTTTTCCGCCACCCGATTTTCCATCTAGCAATGTAACATCAGGCATGAATTCCGATACTAATTCACACATTTCAGTTTTATACTCCATTTCACAGCTAAATAACCCGAATATTGAAACCCCCGATGAATTCGCCGACTCAGAACCATCCCCATCCAATAATTTTCATAACCCTTCTAATTTTTCTCAACCTCCTTTTCAACCCATATTGTCAAATAACCCTGACCCAATCACTCCCACACCCTCTTATGCTTCCCAAGTTACCCCAACCTACTCCTCATACCATTCTGACCAATCATCTCCAGACACCCCCCGAATCTCCCCAGAGCTAGACAATTTTATTACCCTCCAACAACAACCCTACCACCTTAACACCCCGACCATAAACCAAATCTCCTCCACTACAAATTCATCCAATCCCCCTACACCCTCTTCAAATTATACTGAATCATTAACACCATCATCCACATCCACTATATCTTCACTAAACACTAATAGAGCTTACCGCACTTTTAAAAGAAAGTTCCCCAACCATCCTTTCCCAGCAAAACCAGGAACAGCCCGTGAATACATCAACCACCCCCAGCATACTAACACCAAAGAATTTTTAGCTATCACTTTACCCTCATTTCCACAATACACCTTAAACACCCCTCATGACGCTAACGAAACACGCAACTTTGTAGACGAATACGTTTTAATGCCCACTCTCTCTTGGACCTCATACTATCATTTCACTAACCCTCTTTGCTTACCTTTAACCAACACTTCCATCGATACAGACAGAAACAAAGATATGCTATATCGACTAACTACACCACTAACCGCTAGACAATTTACTTACGTTGGATATAAAAAATCACTAAAAATACACACTGCACCTAGAGCTAATGAATATACACTAGAATACTACGATCACAACATCATTAGAGCTAACCAAGATCAATTCTTAGACGACGATCGCTTCGCTAATCCACAAATCACCGAGAAATTTTTCATCAAGACACCATATGTATTTACACTAAACATCTTCGACCGAAAGTTTGATCACATTATTTCAGAAGCACTAACAAACACACAAGCATACGAAAGTTTTAAAGAACGCTTCCAAATCTTTTCACTAACCTTTCATTTCCTTGCACCACACGAAAGAGATTTACACTGCTCACACGATATTATGTTGCGCACTAAACAAACACATACATACAGTTACTATCGTTTCATCCAAAATCACTTTGACCTCCACACACCCTCTAGACAACCACACCATCGTTTCCAATTCATCAATTCAAAATACACTTCACCGTATTTCCTAAATTTCACATATTGTATTAAAGACACTAACCTCCATGGTATTCTTCGTAATTATGACCCCATAACCCAAATGTATATTTTCTGCCCCATCACCAAGACCTTCAACGCCGAAGAATCCCGACCCTTCCTTATCCCGCACGAGTTTGTACAGCCTATAGAGATCCCAATTTTAGAATTCATCCACAACACTAAATTTAACCACAAATTATATAACTTAATCCAAAACACACCTTATGAGTTTGCAGTAGGCACTGAAGAACTAACCACTATTAAGGCACTTCAATTGCTTTGGCCACTGCTTCAAACTAAAAATATCATCCGCATCTTAGCTAAACTACTAACAACTTCAGAACTAATTCACGACATCTTCCCCCACGGTTTTTTCCCCGACGACTAACAGGTAAGTATGAATTAAGTAAATATTACTAACTAATTAAAATATTGAAAAAACTCACCATTCTTTATTCATGTTTTCTTTAGATTTTTAGCTTTCATCCGACAATCACCTACAAAAACCACAAAAGAAACAATAAAAATCACAATCTTCATCAAACAATTTTAAAATTCTATTAATCTCCTACACTTATAAATTTCTAAATTTAATATCAATGCAATAAATTCATCTATAAAATTTCCCCCCAAAGCAGTAAATCTAATTATGATGAAAATTTGTATCTTAAAATTCCCCCTTAACTAGCAGTAAATTTCCAAATTCTATGCAGTAAATTAATAAAATGCAATTGCAGTACTAACCTTTTGATATTTTCATTCATTCGCACAGAAATTCTATCCACACTCGCACAGCTCGCCCACGAAGAATTGTTTAAAATAATGAATTTCAGTTTCAAGTTTTCACACTCAACAACTCTAACATATAATAACATGTTTCAAACTTTCCTTTAACCCGGTTGGAAAGGAATCATATACTAAACAAAACTAACCAACGCAGCTTACTAAATACCACAAATCATAGAATAACAGCATGACTAAGAAAAGGAAACCAACGGTACCCAAACCGGATTAACCCAGTTTAAAACTGGATAAATTATTCTTTTGAAGACTATTATAAAGTCTAAAAAAGAAATAATAAAACACAAAAAAGTCGAAAGACAAACCCATACCACAAACAATTTGCTTTTTAGAAAAAGTACATAACCAACAAGACATAAGTAAAACCACAACAAACCCAACATAAAACGTTGTCACATAACAGGACCCCTCACAAACACCGCATGAAATTATACTCCCACACCTGGCCTAACCCACCAGGAAAGGACGTCCTGAGCATGCTCTATAGCCGGCCTAACCCACCGCGCTACATCCACGCTTTGTGACCACACCTTTATTTTTAATAAGAGCTACTCAAGGGTGAGTAACTCTTCAAAATAACCGAACTAAAACAAAAAGCTTTTGTGAAAACAACTAACTAAAATCATTATTAAAAAATATTAAACTAATAAAAGTTTTATAAAATGTAAAATCACATGATGCAATATATAGATCAGAATACAACACCAAGGACGAACATCAAAAGATAAGACGACCTCACTACACTCGAGAGAGAATGACCAACTACAATCGATATGCCGCTCACAATCACAACTCAAAGGATTTAGAGTACGACTTGACCTCGCAGAAAAGGACTTCATTGAACTAGACCAATGACCACCTCGATGACCCAAGTGTACGTACAGATCCGAGTAACCAGGCATCCCCTCCACGCACAATCTCCACGCCATTCCCAAGCTAGATCAGACACAAAAGAAGTTCTCCCCGAAGAACAGAAAAACCTGACATAGCCAACCATTCTGAAATCAGAATTGGTTTTGTTGCAGAGACTCAGTCGTTGTCACAAGAAGAACACAACGTCTTATGTCTCTAACTCCAGTTTCCTGGAACTTCCTAAACAAAAAGGAAACAAAGAAATATGATGTTCGCCAAATACCAACGTCCATCATCCATCCTTGAATTACAGAAGAACTGTTCTAAAAAACTCTGTAAAACCCGGATGGGTGGAACCTGATCTAAACTATATTTTATGATTGGATAAATTAAATGTTTTACCAATGTAAAGTATTTAATATTAACCAATCATGATCCATCTAACTAACAACCCACTTATTTGTAAGTGCTGAAGTTACTTGTAATTTCAGCACCAGAGAGATTTGAATTTAACTTAGAAATTAGTTGGACTCTCCCGAGCACTTCAGCAGCCGCAATAAACCAGTATACCCTAGATCTATTGAGCCTAGCAGAGACTAGTTAAACAACCTGAGACTAGATAGTATAAGAGTAAGATTAGGATCGGTATTAGACTAAGAAGTTGCACGAATCTATCCGGCCGAAAATAAGATAGCGTGACGAGCAGACGGTGTACCCTATCCGAAATTACTCTATGAGTTATACACCCCAGTCTTAACTCACCAGGTATTAGTATCTATAACATCTGATAACCAAAATAAACGTTTATTGTTCTGACCACGTTACTGGCGTAGGGTCCGCTTTTTCCCCTTTTATGTGGTGTCATATTAAAGCCTCGTTGGTCGTTATTGGAATTCTGAAAAACTGGTCTGATTTTTTTTTCGTTTTTCAGGCTAAATTAGACAAAATTTGATGAGAGGCTGGCCTCCCAAGTTAATTTTGTTCAACGTATTTTTACTAAAACTAACCCCGATCTTTTCTTGCTTCTTTTCACCAATTTCAACTGCCCTTTGTAGAAAAGAGAAACCAAAATAGCAAAAAAATTGATTAATATTATTCTTCTTTATTTTTTAACTTTTTTTTTCTTGAACCAGCCTGAGTGAAACATTCTGTGCTGCTTGCACAGAAACCG